AAAGCCTCTGCTAATGCTTTCCCTCCTTCAAGGCCAATATTATTATTCCAAAGAATTAATGAAGTCAAAGTAGAATTTTTATATAGAGGCTTTGCTAAGCCTTTCCTCTTTCAGAGCCAAGTTGATTATAGTGAAGGTCCAAAGAAGTCAGAGTAGTATTTTTATCTGCTAGCGCTTTCCCTCCTTCGGAGCCAAGCTGATTAACGCCAAGATTCAAAGTGTTCAGAGTAGTATTTTTGTGAAGAGCCATTGTTAATGCTTTTCCTCCTTCAGAACCAAGTTTATTAATGCTAATATTCAAAGAAGTCAAAGTATTATTCTTGCATAAGCTTCTGCTAACGCTTTTCCCCCTTTAAATCCAATATTATTATTCAAAGACCCAATGAGGTAAGAGTAACGTTCTTGCAAAGTGTCTCTGCTAATGATTTACTTCCTTCAAAGCCAAGCTAACTACTGCTAAGATTCAAAGAAGTTAAAGCAGTATTTTTGCAAAGAGCCTCAGCTATCATTTTCCCCCCTCCAGAACCAAGTCGATTATGGCTAAGGTTCAAAAAAGTCAGAGTAGTATTTCGCAAATAATTTTCGCCAATGCTTTTACTGTCTTAAGTTTAAAATCATTTTTTAACATAAAAATCAATAGTAATAACGATGGTGTTCTTATAAAGATTTCAAACATTATTTACTGTAAATGATTTCTCCAAGCTTTAAATATTTAAATCTCTTACTTGATCGTAAGAACATAGCAATCAAAGAACATTTAAAAGTGTTTACAGCAACGGTAATTGCAGATATATTACGTATGATTCTATCTTTTGTTTGAAGAATATAATTTTTAATCCCATCATGCAAACCATAACCAATAGATACAGTATAACTTGAATAATAAAACAATAGTTTTTGATAGTTTGGAAGGATAATTTTAAGAGGAATTAATTTGCTTCTTCTTCGGAATTTAGCATTAAAAGAAATATTCTTATAAGCCTAATATCATTAATATGGATTGTTGGTTCACTCCATAATATAGGAATAAATATTCTGCATCATTCGCGGTTTACAAGAAGGCATGAAATAAGCTTTTATAATTAGCACAAAGGTTATCAAAAATTTTGAAAAAGCATTCGGTTTGTAAGGGTATCATTTTAGAATGATTAATAATCTTAACACGTACGTACGTACGTTGAAAAAGTTTGTCTGACTGTTATAATCTTAAACTAGTTGACTATTCTATCTATCACACCAAAATATAATCTAATCGATACTCTAAGGCTCCTAAAACCCTGAACTGACAGGCTCAAAGAAGCTTGGTCCGAGTCTCAAGGTCTTTGGGAGTCTTGCTGCGGCTTCTCCAGAGGCTAAGTATAGCTGTAAATTATTCTCTTTCGGGTTATTTATAAGCTTTGGTATGAAAATAAAAGCGATTCTTCTTCCTAATTTTTAGGGGTAACGAGGCCTTAGTCTTCGATCGTTAAGATTCTTAACGATCGTCATGTGAATCACGGGATTTGCAAAATCGATTGATGTTTGAATAGAGATAACAATGACGTTTGATCAAGGTTTGATCAATTATTGTTTTATTATAAATAAGGTCTGAATTATTAATCAACGCTTTCTCTTTCTTATTCTATGCAAAAATTGAAAGTATAGCGAAGGCAATTCAGGGAAGGTTCTATGGTATTTTACTAATAAAATTGATCTGGTATCAGAAGATACTTAGTTGACACTTTTTACTTGAATTTCAAAAGGTCAAGACTCTACTTGTGTTATATGATGAAATAATTTTTATGATAATACCAGGATACAGCAAGTAATAATGTAAAGTCTTATATTGGATGAAACTTAAAACTACTTAGAGTTACTTCTATTATTATGACTTCAAAGTTTATAACTCAACTCAGTTCTGCCTTTATTTTTAAGCAAAAGGTTTTTGCTTTTATACTTTCTATAGGACTATTATAATACAAGTTGGAATTTATACACAAAAGGTTATAAAGCAAACAAAACAAATATAGTTGAATAAGTGGATAAAGTAACTATATTTGCAAAGGCTACTATCATGAATAAAGTAGTGAAATATGATAATACTACAAAAACTATGAAATTAGCTAAAGTGAACTCTTCATACAAGTCTGTTAATAACTATTACTTAAATTGAGTAAAATATAAATATATAATAATAATATGAAATACGTAATACTAATATAAAATACTAATAATAAAAATAAAATTTTACTGGGGCCCTTTACAACATACATACAATATATATTGGTAAAATTTGCTATACAAATATAAAATATTGTGAAATATTTCAATTTGCTAATTAGAATTAAATATATGGGCCCTCAAAAGTAGAAACCAGAGAATTTGACAATTTTTTGAAAATTAACCTGTTTGATTGATTAGGTATAAAATTTAAAGCCAAATCATTTTCACTTAATATTGAAAGTTTAATCAATTAATAAATTTTTAAGATATAATAGTTAAAAACATTTGATGCTATAATCTAAAATAGATTTATTGTACAAAAGTTGCACATATTTTATTCTAGAAGCAATCTGTAGATCCAATAATCCTGTTTAAACAGGTTTGTTTATATTGGATAGAATATTTTTAGATTGTTGTGATCTTGTGTAACAAAAACGGTTTTACCAATTATCTCAAAACCTGTGATCAGCCAAATTTCCTGGTTTCTACTTTTGAAGGTCTATATACATTAATTATATGATATAATACAGTAAGCTACAAGTCAATCTCACCATTAACTAAAACTGAATTATAGTTTACTCTGCCTTAAAGGCTTTATTCAATGATTTTTAGCATATTAATAATATTATTATTTAACAACCCTTTCATCTAGTGTTTTAGGCAAAATTTCTGAAATAGGATGAAATATATTTTGCCCAAAAGCCTGAAATCCAATAATTCTGAAACTGATGAAATTGGCAAAATGCCCAAAACCTGGTAAAATATTTAAAAATTGGCAAAATGTCTGAAATTAGTGAAACCAAACCTGGTAAAAGTTCTGAAATCTAATATTAGAATTTTTATTAGAAAAAATATCTAAAGATCACTGAACCCAGTAATCAATAATCACATAATAAATATATTATGCTGTTATTTGTTTACCAGAACTAAACAAACTAGCCTAAACTAACTTTTACCCTAACCCTAAACTAATCCTAACCTAGACCAAGTAATTGTTATATGATACAGTAATAATCACTGGGTTAAGTGATCTTTAATCTTCTCTAGTAAAACAGAGTATTGTGTAATGTTTCAAGCAAAACCAAAATATTTCACCCAAATGAAATTATTTTATGCTGGCAAAATATTTTCAGATTTCAAAAAGTGCAAATTATTACATATTTTGCTGTTTGAACTGAAATTATTTCACTCTGGTAAAATTATTTCTTATTGGCAATATATTCTGAATTTTAAAAATTAATTTAGCCCAAAACACTAGTGTTGAAATATCTTCACTCAAATATTTAAAAATCCAAACTGTCTACTAAATAAGAGCTGCACCAAACTGTTGTTAACTTTTGAGCAAAGATATTTTGACACCCACCAAGCCAAATTTGATAAATCTGTAGAATTCAAATAAAAAAAGTTTTGTTGAATTTGGTTTGGTGGGTGTCATGATATCTTCACTCAAAGATTTAAAAAATTCAAAACGTCTATCAAAAAGAAAAGCTATGCCAAATTTTTTTTATTGAAAATATTTCAGAGATTTTGCCATTTCAGTTTCGGAGGTTTCACCAGGTTTCAGAAGTTTTACCCATTCGCCCATTTCAGAAATTTTGGATTTATTTCGCCTTTGGGAGCATTTCGGTTTTGCCTTTTGGATTTTGGAAATGGATTTCGCCCGAAACACTACTCTCACCCACAGTTTGAATTTTTAACTCAGTATGTTGATAGCCAGAGCAACCAAATATCACATGAACAATGCTAATGAGCGATCGTACCATTATGCCACTCTAGCAGTAAATCGGGATGGGTTTTATGTAACTATATTATTGGATAAAGAATATGCATAGTTATTAGGGGACAAATTGCATATTATATTATATATTTGTCATTATTTTTGGTGTTGTGCAAATTGGCAAATTTTCGAATTTCATGCCAATGGGAATATTTCGGAATTTCCTAGGAATTGGCTTAAAACTTTGACTCGCATTATAGCACTAAAAAATCATGCGCATATCATGCGTATTGCACAACACTAATTATTTTATGCTAAAAAAACTCTCGGTGACTTGCAATTAATCAAGTTGGCAGTAAGATACAATTTCGTGGCTAAAACTATTTAAATTGGAAATGCGTTTGTTGAATTATATTTGTCGCGGCTGATTATGGAATTTGGACCGATATTAATATGATAATGTTTTTTCCGTTTTTTTTTTTTTTTTTTAAATTTATGTTAGTGTTTAGGATTAGATTTGATAATTAAAGAGTATAGGGAGACCTTAGCAGGCTTATGTTTTTAAATCGAGACCCAAATATTTCAAAATCAGCCAATTTCAGATCAGTCACGACAATAAATATTCTCAGTTGAGTTATGCCGACCAACATATTAAACTGAGGTCTTGTAATCCAGCACATTTTTATCATATTATATCGATGTATAACGATGAAAACTTTTATTAAGATATTATAACGACTTAAAATTTTTATTATAAAAATTTATTATAAAAGGTATATTGCGTAAGATATTATATCGGTAAATTTTAAAATTTTAATTATATTGCGTAAAAGAAAATGCCAATGTTCGTTCGAAATTATTCTGTGAGCTTTGTTATCTAACTTTATATACTATAACATTTATTACCAATAAAAAATATTCTTGTTTCGTTTATTCTAGGTTTTTTGCTTGGTTCAAGATCTTTTATGTCGTCTACCATCTTTTGAATCGGTTTGAAGCTTGATTTAATATTTTCAACCATTCTCTTTGATGTGGAAGGTTATATGACTTTTCAAGACGATCAAACGTCTATATTAGAGTAATATTAATAATACTTTTATTATGTTATACATGTATAATTAATTCGATAAAAATAATAAATGAGCCATACCTCATTAAGAGTTTTTTTATGCTGATCGATAATTTTCAATTCTGTTCATCATCATCTTCTGCAATATTATCATTGTCAAAAACCGTTGTATTAATTATTATCGCTAAAGAAAGTTGTACGTGGTCAGATGACATGCGAATGTTCTTCCATATTGTTTTTTCAGCTTCTTCAATTAT